ATCTGTATTTTCGAGACGATATAGAAAAGTTCATTTTCAATTTTGACCCAACTGGAATTCAACCCCAGAATCCCAGAAATGGCGCCACTTCGAAGCCAACTACGGAAGTAGTCTCACGGTAGACGAACACGGATGGTCTTGACCAGCTTGGTTTCTAGCCTTAACCATGGTAACTAGCAAAGAGATGGTAAGCCTTGAATCCAGCACATTGAATACTCTGTGGTTATATCGCACAAGAAAATTATTTCTTCAAAAGATCTTTCGCTATATAAACAAGAAATAATGGCTAGCAAGAAAATGAAATGTGCTATTTTGCTTGTGGTTTTAGAACCAAATATTAAGATGACTTTTTAGTATCTTATGGATTTTGAATATACGAGACGTGGTAACTTCAAAACGGTTCCAGCACTTATGCGATTAATATCTCAAAGTCGTTCTAACACCAACTTATAGCCATTAACCATAAAACGGTTACCCTTATCTACAGAAATCATTTTCGTCTGAATAGATTTTGGCTCTAAATTTTGTCTCTTTGTCTATTTTAGTGTCGATCGGTGATACTAAAGTGCTATGGTGCCGCCTTAAGCATCTGTCTGTGGCCATTTACACATCACGATTTTTTGGATAGTAACAATTTAAATTATATTGTTTAATCATTATTATTTATCATTATCATCAGCTTATTATTTTACCTACTGCAGGTCATGCGATCGAATAGGGAGAATGGGCCATTACCCACCACGCGAGCCCAGTGTGAATTAGTGGGTGTTAAAAACTGCAGATGCAACAATCAAACCAATGGCTTTTCGTGCCTTCCGAAGCGTGGAGGGCCATAAGATAGTAAATTTTTAGTCATTCATCCTATGAGCAGTGCTTGCGAAGGTTGCTTAATTTCTGGATTACAGTTCAAACGTGTTATCCATAATGCCATTGAGTCCCTCAATATATTATGCTATTATCTTTTGGTTTAAAAAAACAATATGTCGGTGTTAACTACTAAAACTCTTATGGCATAAGAGTTGAATTAATTTATCAAATCTAAGCCAATTCTGTTTCATGAATAAATATAGATAGAAAGAAACTGATTAAGAGAAACAGTTCACGTATCGTGTAAAAGTACATTTTTAGAATACATAAACGTATATTGTAAAGAGGATTCTTTTCGCTATTTGAATAGAACACGCAAACGACCGTTGTCGCGGAGGCGAAGCCTGTATCGAAATGGGCCGCAGGTGCCGATTAGAGCAGATCCCGATCAGATATACTCTGTGCATGCTACAGTGCTACCTGGATGATCAAAGGCTAAAGTTCTCTATAGACAACTATGTCTGACATGACTTAATTAAATTTGTGTAATATTTTAGATATACGATGGTCATTTTTGTTAGTAGAAGGCAATAAAAAAAATCTGCAGACGTGAGCAAACAGAGAAGAATTAAAGAAGAAGACAATAGGTATATTAATAATAAATTAGATAAATCATTTATTGTTAACACCATACCCAAAAACACTACAACATAAAAGTAAATATTATCGTATTAAAAAATATTGTGCTTAAATTACCTATATACTTTATTCTTAACATAATAAATAGTACCTAACTATTTATATACTAGCTGCTCTTACTTTATTTGAATGCAAAACTATTACGCTATCTAAATTAACATTCAATACATTATTACTTTTAAATTTTACACACATCAGCTGCTTAATGTTAATTCACAATTTATCTGTTTGAAAATAATTATCAAGCAAATGAAAGACTTTACATATTTTCCGACATCTAGTTTTAAAATCAAATATTTATACCAAACATATCCGAAGCGCAATCTGCACAATCCCTTACGCATTCGATTTCAAAACAAGAAAATGGTAACACGTTAATGCCAAGAGATAACTACTGTCTATAACAGCAATACCTTCAAGACATATTTCTAAGAGCGCAATCTGATCGCAGATAACAACAGAATAAACTTAACCGGGAGGCGCGAAATACGCGCATTTTAATTACACTTCCGCGCTTTTAAATTATGCATAGAGTCATGTCGTTATCCTTAATAGGTAGGATAAAATCCAAGACGGTTTTGTGGAATTGTAGATAAAGTGGCAGGACAATGTTTTGCTCAATCAAATGTTATATGAGCAATACCTTTAATCACTTTTTGATGTAACTTTCCTACAACATATTTTGAACATGTAATGATTTCTGAATATGACTGTAACATATTGCAAACTAAATGTTGATAGCTTTTGTCAGTACTTTTCTTCACGATTTTATGAAACAAATTGTCAATAGATATTATTTTGTTTTTTTTTTATATAATATTATTAAAAGATCAATGCAAATCTGGCGGATAATATGTCAAGTATCCACGTTGTTACGTGACGAATCTTCGTAGATATTATGCACCAACCTTTACGAATTTATGCAGACTTTTATTCGTCTAAACTATACCAAAATCCAACTATTTAGTATAAGGATAAAAATATAAATTATATGATTACATTATTATTGTAGTTTTTAAAAGTTTTAAACAATACATTAGAACACTAGCTCCATTTATCGCCTAGAGATATGTTACACACCAATCTATTGCTAAGTACAATTAAGATCCAATGCCATCAACGAAATACTGTACTGATCTATGTTACTCGTTGCTTCAATTTGAATTTGATATCAGTATAAAAAACAACATGAAACCAATATTATCAATCAAAACTTATGCTTCTTGTGCTATATGTCTGTTATCCTGATTTAAATGAAGATCTTCTTAATAAGTTGGACCGCCTTATCAATAATGCTATCCGTTTCATCTTCTGTCTTCGTAAGTTTCGTAACCATGTTTCTTCTTATCGGTTTTAGCTAAAATGGCTTCCTATTCGACAGCGGAGGCATCTGCGGTTGCTTTGTACACTTTACTCTATTCTTTCCAATCCTCATACACCAGGGCACTTAAAGTGTAAATTTCAATATCTCTCTGACACTCATGGTCGTCACCTGCGTTCTTCAAACTCTCTCTTTTTCATACTAGCTTAATGTCCAACTCATTTACTCTACATTCAATTCGACTGTGGAACAGCCTCCCCTATTCCATCAGTAGATCGCCAAATAAATACATTTAAAAAAAAGTCCACTCCTTTCTGTTTCAAGGCTTGTGAAGATTGTCATCATCATCATCATTGTCATGTAATTGATGTGTGTATATGTGTGTGTATGTATATACACACATGTATATATTCGCTGTATATATGTAATTATGTGTAATGTTATTTATATTTTTAGTATGTTGTAGTATGTTTATGATTAGTTTAGTATTTGTTGTTGTAGTATTTATTTTTATTGCTCTGTACCGCCATCGCGTTTGTCTGTTTTCCCAAAGGTTGACTGGCAGAGAATGCTATTAGCATTAAGTCGGCCTTGTGTACCATGTTTATTGGTCAATAAAGTTCAATAAATAAATATTATAAAATACATCTAAAATTAAAATCCTAAGCATCCATTAGATTAATAATAATAAAGTATCGATTTAATAATAATAACCTGTATAACCTGTATTCAAAATCGATACTTTATTATTATTATTAACCAAAAGTATTATTAACATTAACCAAAAGTAACAAAATGGTATTAAAAAGCAATAAAAACTCTCCTCTCAAATAACGACTTCAATCCGAATAATCCAACAAGATGATGTTACATCACTTTAGCCAAAGTCATCGGCAGTCATGGCACGTCTCTCCCAAGCTGCGACATCCAGCCTGATACAGAAAGAAAAAATACACGACCAACTTTCACAAAAGTGGGAGAAGTCATTTATCAAGCTAGCACTAAGAACTCTCGACAGGGAGAACTTTTGATACAGGATACCCTACCAGACATTAATAACAACGATATCATACCACTCGAAACACTTTTTTAGAATGTATCTAACGTGTTTTATCACTTAAGCCGCGAAACTTTTCTCTTAACATCTCATAGTTTTTGCTCTTGCCACGCTAACCGCGACCTAGATAGGGAATTTTGCAGTTTTTTGGACATGTGCGGAACCGCTAGAGTTTTACAGCTTTCTTTTTTTAAATACTGATAATTCTTTTAATTAAAAATATCATTAGATGAGAAAATAAGTTTTTATATCAATATGTTATTTTCATTTTATGAGTAACAGATTAGACTGTTAAGTTTATCGATCGATTGAACTATCGGTCTTAACTATATTGTTCAAAGTTAAAATTTGAATTTCGCAATTTTTACTCAAGGCATTTTAACATATGACCTAATTAAATGACTTTAACCTGACATTACCAATAACAAAGAAATATACAATAATATACATATACAGTAGCTTTATTCACTGTGCCTTCTATTACCGAAACTTTGGCCGTATTCTATACGTAACTAAGTTCCAGTTAGTCGCGTAAACGACTTTACGTGTCGAACAAGGAAATCAAATTATCAACTCTCGCGAAGTTCGCACCTCTTCCAGTGCTTACGAGACACGAGCTGTCTGGTGTCTAAAGTATTGGTCATTTTCCATTTTAATTTTTATTAAAAACTTAACTATATATGTAGGCGACATTACATGTTTTATTTTAATTACAAATTTACCTTTATGATCCTGTTTTGTCAAAGAATGCAAGCTATCACAAAACGGTTTCAAATTTGAAAGGCAAAGAAATATCATAATGTAATTAAATAGTAGAAATCGATACGAGCTCGGATTGCTTTCATAACATGTTTAATAGTGTCTCAAAGAACAGGAACAATCTGTCTATAATAATCCTTCAGTCGACTTAAGTTTCCTTTTTTAACTCACTGTGGTGGCTCGATTAAGAAAACATTACATAATTGTGCGAGTGCGGTCGGTCGAGCAAGTGGCGCCATGCGAGGGAACGTGTAACTATGTAGGGGCGAGAGGGTAAGAGGGTATGAAGGGGGGAGGTGAAGACTGTGGGGCAGCTATGAGCGCACCACTCTCGCCAAACTAGCGGATCGCTTCGTCAGTCGCGCTCAATCCATGATGAGGTTGGCACGCGTCAGCGTCGCCCCCGACACCGGACGTACGTGTGTCGCGACGTAAACACAACCAGTGAAGTGAACAACTGTTATTTATAATGTCTTCATAATTCTTCATTGACTCGATTACTGCGATCAAGTAACAATTTTATGGTAATTTCGCTGTATTCGATTAAGACAAATGTGTTTGGAAAATGTTTCAATTGCTGACTCTTTTGTTAGTGACTTTGAGTGTTGATGCCGCTTATGCTCCAAAAGGCGTGGATAACTGCAGCCATCAGTTGGATAGTGACAACAATGGCACCTGGTGCCGGGTGCGAACTCTAGATGCCGATAGAGCTAGTTTGGCATCTGCTCCCGCAGAGCTAACGAAGCGTTTAACAGTGGAGTGTAATCAATTACTACTTTTTGAAAGTTACTTAGAAGCTAACTATTTTCAAAGATTTTCTTCACTCGCAGAGTTAATTGTTCGAAACTGCAAACTTCTGCGGATACCAGGCAACACCTTCGAAGGACTACGTGAACTTAAAAAGTTATCAGTCCGTTCTAAAAATAGTGACTGGAGTCCAAACAAAAATCTAGAACTATCACATGGAACTTTCAACGGTTTAAGAGAACTACAAGACTTGGATTTGGGCAAAAATAATTTGAAATCAATTCCTTCTGATGTCTTCTGTCCTTTAGATAATTTACAAGTACTCAATCTCACTGATAATAAACTAAAAAGTGTAGATAGAATCGGTTTTGGTAAAAGCTGTGGTTCCGGCGTACGAAGTTTAGATTTAAGTCACAATGAACTTAAAACATTGACGGAGGACTCAGAAATTACGGGATTACGTAGACTTCAAGAACTGCGTCTTCAGTATAATAATATAAGTGACATTTCAAGTGAAACATTTAATGGACTAATTTCACTTAGAATATTGAACATTTCCTATAACAACCTTCAGTTAATACCCGAAGGCACATTTGCAAACACAAAAGAGTTGCGAGAAGTGTATTTGAATAATAACCAGCTATTTGAATTAGCCAGAGGCGTTTTCCATCGATTAGAACAGCTGCTTGTCTTAGATTTATCGAATAATCAACTTTCAAGCACTCACATTGATGGCGGAACGTTTACTGGCCTCATACGCTTAGTCATTCTGGATTTATCTAATAATGCTTTGACAAGGATAGATGGTAAGACGTTTAAAGATCTTTTCTTTCTACAGATATTAAATTTAAGGAATAACTCGATAGGATACATTGAAGAAAATACTTTTCTTCCTTTATATAATTTGCATACATTAATTTTGGCAGAAAATCGTTTACATACAATTGATGAATTTTTGTTTAATGGACTGTTTGTACTTAGTAAACTGAATCTTAATAATAATTTATTAATAAACATTGATCCTAAAGCGTTCAAAAATTGTTCAGATTTAAAAGAATTAGATTTAAGCTCAAATCAACTACCGGTTGTACCTTCTGCAATTTGGGAACTGTCTCTTTTGAAAACTTTAGATCTTGGTGAAAATCTCATTTCGGATATAAAAAATGGTTCATTTAGAAACTTAGATCAACTAACAGGACTGAGATTAATCGATAACCAAATCGGTAATTTAAGCATTGGTATGTTTTGGGATCTCCCAAATTTACAAGTATTAAATTTGGCTAAAAACAAAATACAAGCTGTTGAAAGAGGCAGTTTCCAAAGAAATAAACAACTAGAAGCTATAAGACTAGATGGTAATTTTATATCTGACATTAATGGGGTGTTCTCTGCATTAATGAGTTTGTTATGGCTTAATTTATCAGAAAATCACCTTATTTGGTTTGATTATGCTTTCATTCCTACGAATTTGAAATGGCTTGATGTACACGGTAATTATATCGAACACTTGGGTAACTATTATAAGCTACAAGATGAGCTTCATATAAAAACATTAGACGTGAGCTATAACCGAATCACTGATTTATCTCCACTATCTATTCCTAATAGTGTCGAATTGTTGTTCATAAACAACAACCGCATAAATAATATCCTAGTAAATACGTTTATGGAGAAATATAATCTGACAAGAGTTGATATTTACGCAAATGAGATATCTCATTTAGATATAAACAGCCTCCGGATATCCCCAGTTCCGTCGAACAAGTCCTTGCCAGAATTCTACATCGGAGGAAATCCGTTTAACTGTGATTGCTCAATGGAATGGTTGCCTTTGATAAACAATATGACAGCAATGAGACAACACCCTCGGATAATGGATCTTGAGAATGTATTATGCAAAATGACACATGCAAGAAGTGTGACACACATACCCTTAAGTAATCTGAAATCGACCGATTTCTTATGCACTTATGAGACCCATTGTTTTACGCTATGTCATTGTTGCGATTATGTAGCTTGCGATTGCCAAATGACGTGCCCAAATAACTGTTCTTGTTATCATGATCCTACTTGGCATACGAATGTTGTTGATTGCTCCAGTCAACGTGGTATGGAAATACCAGAAAAAATTCCTATGGATGCAACCGAGGTCTATTTGGACGGGAACAACTTCAAAGAATTGCAAAATTATGCATTCATAGGCAGAAAAAATATGAGATCGCTCTATGTAAATTCAAGCGAAGTTGAAAACATACAAAACAAAACGTTTGCCGGCTTATCCTCCCTCATTATTTTGCATCTCGGTAACAATAAACTAAAACAATTAGATGGCCACGAGTTCGAACATCTGACACAGCTTAACGAGCTATATTTACAAGATAATTTTATAAGTCACATAGCGAACTCAACTTTTTCTGCTTTGTATTCATTAAAAATTTTAAGATTAGATGGCAATAGGCTAATAGATTTTGCTGTTTGGAACTTAAATAGTAATAAAATTAATTTAAAAGCTCTAGCGCTTGGTAACAATTTATGGTCATGTAAATGTAGATACCTACAAAGATTTACCGCTTTTATATCTGACAATGTTCCTAAAATTATAGATATTACAGACGTATGGTGCTGGAATACCGACTCTCCGTCGCCACAAAAGAAAGAACTAAACCTTAATGGTACAATATGCAGCGACTATTATGCAGGAGATTCTGTTATAGATAACATGTTGGTCTCAAATTATATGCCTATGATGGTAACTACACTCACTGGATTCATGCTGATCATGCTAGTCATCCTCGTAATTTTCTTATTTAGAGACACGATTCGCATATGGCTCTATACGAGCTGTGGGATAAGATTGTTTCCATTCACTGGAGCGTACGACGACACTGATAAATTATACGATGCTTATGTCTGCTACAGCCCAAAGGATGATGATTTTGTTATTCAAACGTTAGCCGCTGAGTTGGAAAATGGAAGCCCTTCGTATCATCTGTGTTTACATTATAGAGATATACCACAACATAACGTTGCTTATATGCAATGTACATTACCGTTGCCTGAAGCAGCGGAAGCTTCCAAAAGGATTATTATAATTCTGACCAGGAATTTCATAGAAACGGAATGGTCCCGTTTCGAATTCCGACAAGCGTTGCATGAAATTCTGAAATCACGAATTTATAGCTTAGTTATCATAGAGGAGAGTTCGGTGTTGCCTGAGGCAGAATGTGATCCAGATTTGAGGCCGTATCTCAAAACAAGTTCGAGGATACGGTGGGGCCAAAACAAATTTTGGGAGCGGTTGCGTTACGCGATGCCAGATCGAAAATATAAATCGAAACCTTCTAGTTATAGAAACAATATAAATTCATATACGATGAGAAGTAACGTACAGAATGGTACAATGAGATCGTTTTCCTTTACGGAAAAAGCGAGAGGCCCGGCAGACGGGGTCAGTTCTACGCCTGAATTTAATGACAACAGACCGCAACAGGCTCATATTGTTTCATACGGTACTGACGGCAGGCCACCTTCAGATCATATATATTCATCTATAGATTCAGATTATTCGTCATTAGAATTAGGTGGAAATAATCCGAATAGAAGGAGGGAATTTAGACATTGGCCACCTCCGCCACCCTTAATCGACACCCAGTCGTCAGGCCAAGCCTATCTTGTCTAGTCTGCTTGCAAACTCAATATAAAAATAGAGAACATTTAGTCAAAGCTTCATGTGAATATTGTATTACCGCAACGCGCGCTTTACCAAATAATTAAAATTTTAATCTATTTTTGTAATTTCTCGCCGTTCCAAAGGGCGTTCATTTCATGATTTTGATGTAAATACATTCTATAAGACTGCTGTAGTATATTATAATTGTGAATTTGTATATAATGTGTAAATAAATGTCCATATAAGTCACGAGTATACTATTTATATACTTTAATAAAGCCATTGTGATAATTTTTGCAAATCTTTTATGTTTTATTTCCATTTCACAGCTATAAATATGCAATAATATTTAGAATAACAAACATTCAATTGAATAATTCAGCTTTCTTACTATTTTTTTTTATAAAAAGCAACATTACTTTTGTTATCTCCGACAAAATCAAACGATGTATTTGGGAAAATGGAAATATCTAATGTATTTTCTTATTATTACAACATAGCTTATTCATGAAAGTTACATTGAGTAGAATTTTATGAGCAAACATTTTCTTATAGTGCTTTAATATTTATGAAAAAACACAAACAACTCATGCGTACAAGATTCTAGTAAAGAATTAGATTAGGTAACAGATTCAAGAAAAGGGTCTCCCGGTACCTGCGGACTAAATCTGAAAAACCGTTGGACATAAACGTGAGAAGAATGTAAGTAATAACAATATGGCGGTTCATATTATAAAGACAATAACGTATGCTTGGTGAATTTCTAATCGTAACAGTAGCCAGCTTCAAAGAATCACAGCAACTTTGCCGCAACTTTAAACATAATCACCTTTTAACGTTGCCTTAAGGTTTTATTTAATGTGATTTCTATATAGTGTTAGTTTTATTAACAACGCATACCGATTATAACACGATGCGTGGTTAATGCAGTCAAAAAATTTAAACGGTTATAAACACTAAATAGCATAAATAAATAGCATAAAAAATTATATTTCGTTAAATAGAGCTTCAAACTTGACATAACACTATCACAGCATAGAACTCAATGAAATAAAACGTTTATTACCTTTTAAAGTAGGCTTAATATAATTGAACTTATGCTATGACAGTACTGTGTTCAATATTGTGATTTGTTTTTATCCGCTAGTGACTACGCCTGTCTGATCCACATGGAACTGATTTTCTTTTAATTAGGTACGTCAACATCATACTTATTTAACCTTTACAAAACAATATTTAAATAATTACAATTTCTGATACATATGACAATTACAGACATACACAACATTCACTTATTTATATTATTGCGCATACAAATCCTAAACACTAAATCAATAGTAATAAATTAAATAAATAAAATCAAAATAAATTAAATTAATCAAGTCAAATTAAATTAGCCAAATAAAAAAAACAAATAATTTAATCAAAACAAAACAGCTTACATTTATATTATTGTAATGCAAATGTCAACATATTATTACACATCATTATCCTAGCATACATTTCGTCAGTTCTCTCCTAAACTTCACCAATGGGTCGGCAAAGATATCGTCATCGCCGTGGCACATACTAAATTGTTTATAATTTTTGCATATTCTATAGATTGGAGAATTTGATCCTGTGTTAGTTTTGCAAGAAGGTACGTGGAAAATTTTCAGACTCGTCCCAAATTGGGACTCACCTGGACTGTTAAGCAGAATAAATGTTAGTTAGGTTATTTACGCCTCATTAGACTACGTGTATGCAGAATTCTTGTTCTTGTCCTTCCTCCAGCAGTAAAGAGTATGTAAAAACTAATTTTTATATTTAATTAATTTCGCATTCATAATTTTATGCTGGTAAATAATGATAAATGCTTAACAATCACTAGTCCCAGTTACTCCAATTTGGGATGAGTCTGGATGATGAACATGATCATTTTTAATAATTAAATTTAGGATGTTGCAAGACTGAGATGGGATGGGACGGGACTGGCAGATTTTTTAAAGATTTTTCATTATGAATATGCAAATATATAATAATGAATATGAAACAGTAACAGGTGCTTGAAAAATTCGTCAGTCCCGTTAGGTTCTGGGTAGTTCAGTGGTTAGAGCAGTCCCCGGATTGCGGAAGGCCATAGGTTCGAGTCCCATCTCAGAGTGCCAGGGACAAAGTGGATTTTTTAAGTATTTATCATTAAGAATGTTTATTCAATCAACTGAAGAACATTGCTTTGGAATTATTGAATTCTACATTGACTACTGATTTTATAATGAAAATATAAATTACCTTCATTACCAGTCAAATCAAAACTAATAAAACCGTGGCATATCTTCTTAGAAAATGACCTTATCGGTCAGTTGCACAAACGTCCTTTAATGTTTAATGACACCTTTAAGATCTAATGAATGTCAAATTTGTATGGGTAATGTCCCTTTAAACCAATGAAAATTTTAATGGACGGTTGTGCAACTAACTGTATATAATATATGTAAAGGCAAACCGAGCTTTAAAATTACGTATATAAAATATCCAATTCGACAAGTTTCAATATTAGAATGACAACAGAGATGACTAATTTTTTTTTTTGTCTGTCCTTCAGGTAGATTATTCAAGAACTGTAAACAAGGTATTTTTTTCGTAAACAATTAATTGCAAGAATACGTTGCGTTGAAATGCGCATGACGTCACATCTTCCCAACACAGTTGTGACGTAGCGAGCGCTTAATCCTCAAAGATAATGCCTTTTATCTTGGACATTAATATTTTAAATTTGAAGCGAAAAAAATACATATTTAATGTTTTTTCCCATTATCTGACTGACGGAGTAAATAGATGTTTTTTTATTTACCCCTTTCATATAGTAAACAAATATAAAAAGTGTTAAGTAACCCTCTGGACATATCCTTATTCATTAAAATCAATAATTCTGTATCCAATCGAAATGATAACTTTCTGCTTTTTCGATACTGAGTAAAAAAAATGAACCTATGTGCTTATCTACTTCTCAATATTACTCTAAGAGGCGTAACAAAAATATACAAGAGCTTTTTAAAGCTTTGTCTGTCAATATGTTAAAATACTAAAGGTATAGATCACTCAATTCCCAGTGCGCAGGTGAGGTGCTTCAATATACTGAACCATCATGCTTTAGAATAACTCTTGCACATTTTTCTCACGAGCTCTCCGTCTATATTGTGTTATACAATAATATGGAATCCATTTTCCTTTAACGGGTCAACTTTATATTAGAGCAAATGGATGCTAATTGAAGCGGCCCCGTCGGAGCACAATAGCACGACCAGGAGCGCACAGATCTAATCTAACAGCTACCTATAACTGGTTATACGAGAGCGTAAGTACACATCTGTAAATATTTAAGAATAAATAAATATTCGACATCATCACATACATTGCTCTCGAATCCAAAAAGAATTACCTAAAGCACTATTATTATTAAAATTTGGAACAACGAAGATACCACATCATCCAGATCTAAGACAAGGCCGGAGATCGAACCAAGTTTATATCAATTATTAACGTTTTTTGTCAGAATCAAAAACATTCTGCACCTTAGTCTTGGTATATAATTAATTAATGATACTTTTTACGTGTCTATAATTTAATAAAATTATTAATATCATTTATTACTTTTTATTGTAATAATTTTATGAGACTCTGCGGACCAGATAAGAATGAATAAATGAATGATAAATAAATAAATGATGAAAAAACATATAGAAATATTAAAAAGTAGTACCTACAAATTAAAATATTTTGTCAGTTTAATGGCGGCCTTATCGCTTAGAAGAAATTTCATCTAGGCAACCGTACGTTGGGCTGAATTGATTAAAATAAGAATACAAACCCAGTAAAATAAAATTGCTGTTGCTTAAAGGAAGATATACTTATATTCATTCTAAACAACACACAAACACACGCGCGCGCGCGACGTATATTATATAAAATCTCAATAATAAACGATATTTGAGAGATCGGGATTTGTGTAATAAATGAGAAGTCAAGTCAGGACGTGCTCCATAAGAAGTTTGTGAAAACTTTGATAACATTTAAACTGCAAAAGGTAAACAAAAAAATTGGACACTCAAAAAATTGCATAACGGTATTTACAATAAAAACACCGAGTCTGACTCAAGCCTAACAAAGTACAATAATTTTAAGCTTGAAGATAAAACCGAGCCAAACGTCAATATTTTTACTGCAGCAATCAAATAAAGAATTATGACAGGCAGCGAACAGAAGAACCTTCAGTTTTTTGTCACAAACACTAGTAGCTGCCTCCTTTACAAACAAAACGTTACCAGTGTATCATAAAATGCATGAAAGCTTTACAACTCATTGTTTACTCATCTTTTCACATAAATATAGGCGAATCAGTAAAATGTTAAAGTAAAGTCAACACTGACGCAAAAGCCTTTCCGTCTATTGTTCTTTTTCATTTTCGGATTCCAAATAATATTTGCGAAATTGTCATTTGATAAAATGATATCTTTATATATCAATTTTACTCTTTACAGGGTATTCTAATATCAGTTCATTTAAAATATTGAGATGCTAAATGGAATGGGAGGGACAAAAGATTTGAGAATTCCGTTGAAATTTTCTTGAGTTCCTATTTGAATAAAGCTAATAATTCGCTTAAAAATATTCGATGTTTTAATTAAATCGCTCAGTGAAGATTATTTCATCTAAGTCTCATAAATATTGGCTATAATTTTTAATAAACTCGTTATTTGAGACACAAATATCAATAACGCCCCTGAGACTAAACAATTAGTTTTCATATTTCTTGTACCTTTTTAACATTACGACGCGTTAATTTTGAATGATAAATAAAACATAATACGAAATTTTATTTTCAGTTAAGCATTCTGAATTATGTGACAGTGTCAATTCCGTTGTATAGTCAACATCACGTCAGGTTTCACGTAACTGACAAACCCCACTGGATTTTCAATCCTAATGCATTGCGTAGCATATTGTTGGTAGTCTGATGAGTAGCCGTATTTACCACTCTCTCAATCCACTATGTAATTATAGAAATGTAATATTATTGTTGTATATCACACATAAATACTTTTATTTATGTTAGCTTAGTTATTTGCGGAATTGAAAAGACACTTTGACAGGTTAAAAGTAAATTTAGTTAATTTCTACAACAGATTTTCTATCAAATAAATATATTAGCAAAGCTCATTTTAATAAACCTAATAGACTAAGAGCAAAAGGTAAATTGTCTAGGATTTAATAAATCTCTGAAGATTTAATAATGGTAAATTGTCTAGGATTAAAAAT